GAATAATATGAATGGAGCGGGTAACTATAAAGAAGAGGATTTGAGGAAACAATATGAAGAATATTCAAAGGAAAAAAATGGTAAGGTTAAAGAGATAAACATAAATGAACAACTGTCAGGTGAACTAGACTTAAAAAATTTTCCTAATCTCGAGAGAATATTTATCTCCCACTCGGTTGATCAAAATAAATTTCAAATAACTAATAAAAAAAAAGAAACTAAAATAATTCAACTAAAAAATGCTCAACGGTGATTAGATCAACTTTATCCCGCGAAAAATACCAATCCTGCCAAAAGAAGAAACAAACTAGAAACCTTAAATATTAGCGAAAAAGAATTAGAAGGGAGTTTGGATTTAACTGATTTTACCAACTTAAAAAAGTTATATTGTAATGATAATAAGTTAACTTCTTTAAAACTTAATAATTTAACTAAATTAGAAACAATTTTTTGCTTTAATAATCAACTTACTAACCTAGGAATTAGTGCTTCAAACAACCTAGAAAATTTAAATTGTAAGATAAACCAGTTAACTGATATTAATTCGTTATTATCTAATCTCAATTCTGCTAAATTAAAGCAATTAGATTTGCGGGATAATGATTTCTCAGAAAGCGATTTAACTTATTTAAGTAAATTTGTTAATTTGGAGTATCTAGAATTATCTAACAATTACCAAAAAGTAAGTGATGATGTCTTCTACCAAAGTTTTAAGCCTTTGCAATACTTAAACAAGTTAGAGAGTTTATATGTTAAAGATAGTTCTTCCAATAGAAATGTTTATTTTTCGAGTAATAAAAAGGATGGTTCAGTTGCAGGGCAAATTAGAAAATTAATTAGTAGAGAAATAAATTTAAAAAAACAACATCAAAAACTTGTTTTTAGTTTATTAGTGGGAAATAATTTATTAGAAAAAATTAGACAGTCTGAAGAAGGGACAATATCAAAAAACGATTTGAGACATATTAAGTACTCTTTAGTAGTAAATAAGATTCAAAATACAATTGCTTATCGTATAGCAAACAAAGATGGGTTAGTAGATAAAACGATTGAGAAATTAAGAGCAAAAGAACGCTCTTTATTAATAAGGGAAACTTTTGATGAGGGCGATAAAATTGAGGGATTGTTAGGAAAATATACTTTCAACAAAAAAGACTGAAAAACTATACATCATGATTTTACTCCTGAACTACAAGCAGAGTGAGAAGAATTGGGCTTCTCTTATGAAGAAACAGAAATGTGGATAAAGCGTTTTGGTTCCTCTCAATTGCAAGAGATAGGAATCAAACCGACAGAAGCGAAATTTGCTCAGCGGCTTAAGAGAGAGATGTTTCTGAAGGTTAAGGAAGGGAAACTTAAAAATACTGAAGACCTTGAAAGTTTAATCGATCTATTTCTTGATTATAGAGCAAATAAAATAGAAGAAAGGCAGGAAAGAGATTCAACTGGTCAAAAATGACTAGATCAAAAACACTCAACAGAGAAAGAAAAAATCAAAAAGTTAAATATCAGTAGCAAGAAACTGAAAGGGCATTTAGATTTTAATGAATTTGTCAATTTAGAAGAATTGGATTGTAGCGAAAATGAACTAGTCTCTTTGGAATTTAGCAGATGCAATAACTTGCAAAGATTACGTTGCTCTGATAATCAATTGAATGAACTTGATCTTAGAAAATGTGGCAAACTAGAATTTTTAGATTGTTCCAACAACCAAATAATT